ACTGATTTCTCTTGGATCTGACTCACCAATGGTCTGGATCTGGGTGGCTGGGCCCATGTTTGTCAGCTGTTGAGGGCAAGGCTGGAAAGGTGTGTGGAAACTACCCTCGCTCCCAAGGTGGAGGAAGGCCGTTGAAGTCCGAGGAGGGGTGGAGGGTTGCAGCTGGCTGTGCCCAGCTAGCTTCACAGCCTCTTCTGCCTCCCCTTTTTCCAGGTCTGACTACCACAGAGCCGTGTTCTGCTATGGGGACACCAAAGGCAATGTCATTGTCTTCACCTCCGACGATGTGACCAATGGGCTGTTCAACCCCTGAATCCTCCCCAGGACCTCCAAATGGGGTAGTGAAGACGTGAAAGGTTGGGGGGATTGTCCTGCCTGGCGGTGCTCTTCTCTCTCCTTGCCTCCATGCTCAAGAGCCTCTGGGAAGTCACCCACGTGCTCAGCTCAGGGCCACCAGTGGGAGATGGGGTGATGGGGTGACAGCAGGACACAGGAAGGGTAGGTAGTCTCTCTGAAGGTGGGAAGTTGTGCACGTGAGAGCTGGTGTAGGGGTGGGAGGGCTTCAGGACCTTCCTCATCCCAGGAAGAAAGAACCCATGGCAGCTGTGTGACCCTGCTGGGTCTTGGGGAGATGGTCCTGGCTTCCTCCATGGTGTGAGGAGGATTCTGCTCTTCCTGGCTGGGAGCTGCCTATGGGTAGGTGGGGTGGGGCTAAGAGGCTGCCCCAAACGTGGGCTCTGCAGGGCCTGGAGGAAAGCCCCACTCCACGCAAGCTGAGGGAACAGCTGTTGTCACAGCCCATTAAGGGAGCAGGAGCTGGAGTTTAGGGGGTGAAGCGCTTGCACAGGCCCCACAGTGGTAGCTGAGATTGGAGGCGGGCAGTCTGCCCCAGAGCCTGCAGTTTAACCACTTGCTGGGCCGTATCCCAAATGGACTAAATGCTGGAGGATGCTGTCTGAGGCCGCTCTCCTGAAGGGCACTAGATCCTGAAGGTTCAGAGCTGGGACTGTTGGGAGCTCATCTGAACTGGACCCTGACCAGGATCGAGCCTTCAACGTGGTGTCGGGCCTCCAAACTGCTCCATGTCCATCTAGAGGGGGCCGGGGCTCCAGTCCCAGGGACACCGAGTCCCTTCCATCCAGGACACCAGGCGGCCCCTTGGGCTTCTAGTCAGTTTCTGAGCAGGACACTTTCCAGGGAGCTCCCTGGCCTCGGTGATAACTCCTGCCCAGGTTGTTGGGGCAGCATCCCCCACTGGCCAAACAGAAGATGGATGCAGTTCTGGATGCAGGAGTGGGCCAGCACCACGCTGTGTTCTGCCTCATCAGCCTCTGCCCTTGGTGCCCACCGTGCCCTGACCCAGCCCACCTTGGTGACTCTATGCCACCCTGGGAATTGGCACAGGAGGTTGTGGTGGTCTTTGAGCCGAGTGGTGGACAGGAAATCGGAAGGCGTGCGGCAGATGACATTGGAGTGGTCAGACAGGAGTCCTTCCGTGCCATGTGCTATCTGGGGGTCAAATAGGAAGGGGACCCAGCTGCATGTTGACTTGGGAGAGGCTGGACAGACCAGCTCTGTGTGACCTGGAGCCAGTCGCTTAACCTCTCTGTGCCTCAGTTCCCTTATACAAATGGGGATGGGTACATTCTGTTCATGGCTTTGCGATAAGGTGGAAGGAGAGGAAAGTAGGAGGGCAGGGCCGTGCTTCGTGTGCTTGCTCCAGACACGCTTGCTGGATGGCACATGCAGGCAACTTCTTGGAGCTTGTGTTTGCTGGACAAGGAGGCATGTAGTTTGAAGCATGATGGCCGACTCCCAAATGATTATTTTCAGAATCAATAGATCCTAGGATCTCAGTTCATTCTCCACTCCAGCAAAGTCAGAGCTTTCTAATGGAGATCAACAGCTGGGGAGGGTGAGGAGCCCTGAAATCTGGTTCCAGCTCTGCCAGGAGCCAGCAGGGGGACTCCGGGCAGCAGTGTCCACTGGGTCTGTTTTCTGGGTGCTGAGTTCACCCCACTGAACTCTCCAGGACACAGTGAGGCTTGAGGGAAAAAGCCTTTTGAGACATATGGGAGTTGCAAACCAACCCAAGGGGTCTTCTGAGGTTTTGCTTGTCTGGCAAACAAGGAGAGCTGGTGACGTGGGCCTTGGTTTTCTCCCCTGTCAGATCACTGGACCAACGTTTCCATGCAGAAGCTCTTGCATGAGAAGTCCCCTATGCATAGAAGTTACCGGCTGAAGGTGAGTGGAATCTTCCCTTAGCTGTTAGCATGGTAATTAGCTATATACAAGCATCACTCAGAAATAAATGCAGGGGGTGGATCTGCTCCCTGGGTTCAGTCTGAGGCCTTGGGGCTTGGTCTCTGGGAACAGGATGGAGGCAGCTGTTGGATCCTGGCCACTCTTTCTGCTGAATCCATAGCATCCCAGACACGGCTGATCTCTCTCACTGCCGTCATTGCTCAGACACCACCTCTCCTGGGCAGCTGCGGTGGCTTCTCACCATTTCCCCACGTCCTTTCTCCATTCAGCAGCTTTAGGAATCATGAGCTAGACACCCAGCCATGGCACTTTGCTCAGAATCCCCCAGGAGCTCTCCTGTTTGAACAAAATCTCAAATGCTCACCACTAACTTATAAATAAATTCACATGACAGTAGACGTCAGTGCTTTTTAACCTACTCCATTCACAAGTGATGGCCACACACCCCTGGTCACATGACCTGGGCTAGGACCGCGAGCTGGATCACTTTGTCAGAGCTGTGATCGCTGAAAGGGCGCTAGACTCGGTGATCTCCTGGTCCCTCCCCCCAGCACCTGCCACGTCCTGGGGGCTGGGCCTGGATGACTATCCTTGGGTTGGGTCTCCCACCACCACTGCTCTCTTCCCAGGCTCTCCACCCCAACTGGTGTCAACGGGTCAAGTTCATCCCCCAGCTGAACCTGGTGGCCTCCTGTTCAGCCATCAGCAGGTCCTCTCTGGTGCTGACAATATTGCCGTCCAAAGCCCCAGAGAGCCTCAGGTAAGGAGCACCTCTCTCCAGGCTGAGGTCAGGGGGCTGGGAGGGGGTGGGCAGTGACAGTCACTCCAAGAGTCAGGCTTCACTTCAGCCACATGTGGCCGTCCCTGCAAAGAGTGGGCCTGCCTCTGAGACAGTGGCATATCCCACGGGCAGTACCGTGTCCTGTGGATCATACAGGGTCCAAGGAAGCACTACTTGTCCTAAGGGCCAACAGTAGGGTGTGGCGGTTAGAATGTGGGCTCTGGAGTCTTTTTTAAACTGAGATTGTCAGTTTTGAAAACTGATGTATAATATATTAGTTTCAGGTTTACGATTTGCTATTTTTATATATTTGAAGAGATCACAATAAGTCAAGTTAACATTCATTGCCACCCACAGTTACACATCTTTTTTTCCCGTGATGAAAACTTTTATGAAGTCTGGTTTTAATCATCATTCTAGCGTTGCCACCAGCAACAAAAATATCGGTAGCCTCTTTTATCCACCAGTTTATGCACAAAACTCAGCACAGAAGCTGGCACACCGTGTAACTAGACAGAAAAATGTTTTCTGGACAAAGGAATGAATGCGAGTTTCTTCACATCTGTGAGCCTCAGTCTCTTCGTCTGTAAAAGGGGGTGAAAACAGCCCTTACTTCACTTACCATGAGGGTTACTTAAGTGAGCGCTGTACCTGGTATGTATTCAATAGTTGGCCACACGCATTCTTTGGAGATGGTTCTAATCTGTATCCTTCATCCTAGTATTCCTCTACCCCAGAGTGAATCTTTGCCTCTTTTTTAATTTTTTAAATTCAGCATTTAGTCACACAAATATACAAACATACATTGTCCTTATAAAAAATCAAAACATCATATATAAAACTGGAATCCTGTAAACCCCACCCCTTCCCCTATCCAACCCCCAAGTCCAAGAATGAGCTGCAGGTGGGAGGAGGAGAGCATCTGCCTAAGGTGGTGCGAATTTCTGTCTTGACTTTCGTGCTCTGAGTCGGGCGGTGTGGTGGAATTTTGCTTGGAGCTGGTTTGCTGAGGACCGTCTCTCTGCTTTGGTGGGAGTATCACCTCATGTCTGTGATGTGTTTCATTCAACTTCTTGTTCTATTGGGTCTCCACAGCAGGAGGATGTCACAGGTTGACCTCATCCTGGCCATGAGGACCTCCACTGTCTGGCCCTGCCACCTTCCCACTCCAGCCACACTGGCCCTCTTGTGCCTCAGGCGTGCTCCTGTCCCCAGGCCTTTGCATTGCTCCTCTCTGCCTGTTTTTAAAACATTTTTATCATGGAAAATCTCAAACACATGCAAATGTAAAGAAAAATAGTATAATGCTTTAATATCATTAGTACCTGGTTCAGGTTAATCTTTCCCCAAGTGTCTCAGAAGAATGTTCTTACAATTATTTGCAATCAGATATAGACACAGTTCTAGGATGGTTTGGAGCAGAGGAAATGGTGCAGTCTGACACAGGAGCATCCTTCTCACTGCTCTGTTGCAAATAGAATGTTCGTATGTGGGCAGGAGGGGAGATGGGGACACCAGTGAGAACACTATTGTAATAATTCAGGCTACATGTGATGGTGGCCTGGAGTCAGCCAGTGAAGTGGACATGGGGGGATTTGAGATACATTTTGGGGATGGATTGGAGAATGTATTTTTACACATGCACACGCACCCTCTTCCTTCTTGTCTGACGGCAGTGCACACACTGGCCAGCGGGTGGCACCATTGACCGCCAGCTGGTCTCCTGTGCTGACCTCTTGGGGCCCAGCCCTGCCAACCCAGACGGCCTCTGGAGTTGGCCTCGGCCTCCAAGGCAATGTGGGTCTCAGGGTCTGGCTTCCTGCTCCTAGCCAGCAGTGACTCTGATGGAGAAGAAGCCGGGGTGGACCCACAGCATCTCCCCTGCTTCCCTCCTCCCCTCTCACTCCTGCCACAACCACCTAGTTGAAGCCACTGTCGTTTCCCACCTGAATTGCTTGCTGTGGCCTTGTGGACTTCTTCCCTGTGTCCCCTCTGACCTTCCAGTCCCTTCTCTGCACAGCAGTCGCCTGCAGACCTGGTCTCCTTCAGCCGTCCTGTCAAAGCCACTTGAAGTTTATTCCCCTGGCGGACTCACCATGATGTGTACATGTCCACCCCCGGCTCTCTGTTCCTTTACTTGCTCGTGCCATTTTCCTCTAGAAGGAAAGCCCCAGGGAAGGCAGAGGCATCATATCTATGCGTCTGGTCATCCTGGAAGGGCGTAGGAGCCAGGAAATCTTTGCTGAATAAATGGGTGACTCAGCCTGAAATAATTTCTAGCACTGTTTTGTGACCATTCTTCTAGAATATTTCTCTGCACATATATGCATGGACGACAGAGACATATCTGGTTTGATGATACGTGTATTTGATATGTTGTTCTTGAAGATTTGATTTTTAGATGAATCCCTCCGGTTGTGGAGTGGGGAGCACAGGGAAGTGGGAGCGGGCTGGAGATTGAGAGCCCCCCCAGGAGGCCAATACAGACATGAAAGTGTTCCGAACCAAGTAGAGGCCAAGGCTGTGTGGGATGTGGGCAAAGAGGATGTGGAGCCCGCCTGAATAATGGGAGTGCAGGAGAGGGAGCCTCCAGGATGACAACCAGGCAACTGGCTTAGGCCCATGGGAGCAGCAGAGGAGCAGGTCAAGGGCAAGTTCGGTGGAGGACAGTCTATGTTGGAGGGCCAGGGTGCCGTACAATGGGGGACCTTCGCTGAGTTTTGAAGGCAGTTTGAATAGGAGGAGCTGAAAAGTTAGGATGTGTAGACATGAGGGAATAGCCTGTGCAAAGGCACGGAGCTTCCAGGGCTGACCTCCAGGGCTGAACTTCTTGGAACCCCTGGGTCACCAGGCCCTCCTGAGCCCCACCGGGCCCTGCTGCACCTCTTCCTTTCCTAGAGCTGTGGTTCCTGAGCCTCCTGCCTCTTCCTGCCATGCCCACCCTGGGTCTGAATCCTGAACCCCTCACCTTGCCAGCCATGTGACCTTGGGCAAGCTCCTTAACCTCTTCCCATATCCTCATTGTGGCCCAAGGCTGATGACAGTCTTCAGGGTTGTGTGAGGGGGTCCAGGTGACTCTCGAGACAACACTTAGCACAGCGACCAGCAGGCGGCAGGGACATGGCACCCAGAGACTTTGTTTTCTTCCCCTAGCCTTTGCCCCCCCCCCCACCTTGTGGTTGGTGTCATGGGTAGGACTGTCCCAGTATAGCTGCGGTGAAGATTGAGTTAAGTTTGCCCTTGGAAGAAGCAAACCTGTCCAGCTGTAGGAGTTGCTACAGCGGGAGACAGGTGTTTCCTCTGCGCTGCTGGTTTCAGAAGTGGTGGGGGCTGCTGCTCTGCCTACAGTGCTTGGCCCTGCCTCGCCTGCAGGGTGAGCCCAGGGCTGGGTTTCCCTGGGCTGCTCCTCTCCTTGGGTGGAGAGGTAGTGACTTCTCCCCAGCCTCGCAGCGACCCTGCCACCAGCTCCTCCACATCCCAAGCTCAGAGGCTCCCCGAGGCCTCTGCTCGTAGCCTTCCCCCTTTGCTGTCGTAGGTTTTCAGTGCTGAATTTAAGAAAAGGGATTCTTTGCTTTGATTACTGCCCAGAAAAGAACATCCTGGATAAGTAAGCCTCATATCATGCAGAGGCTGCTGGTCTCACAGAACTAGGGTGAGGGCAGCTGGGGGATGTGGAGAACATCAGAGCTGCGGAGGAGGCCCTGCAGTGTCCAGCCTCTGTCCCACGTCCTCTCTGGCTGCTCTGGTCCCCGCTCATGGGCACCTGGGGTGGTGACACGGGCTAGCTTGGCATGGTGGTGGAGGCTGTGGGAAGGGCAGAGGCATGGATCGCAGCAACGCCCCTCTTCTGCCGAGCCTGGCTGGGACCCAAGGCCTGGCCCCAGGGCAGGGTCCCCGTGTAGGCCCCCGGTGGCTGATACCCATTTTTCGACTCCAGTGACTGGGGGCTATGACCCCCTTATCTGCCTGTGGAATCCCTTCTTCTCGAAAAAGCCTGTGTGGCTGATGAAGGGGCATAAGACCTCGGTGACGCACATCCTCGTGAGCAGCAAGAGCAGCAGCATCCTCCTCAGCATCTCCAAGGACAAGGTGTCACCCTCGGAGAGCTCGGCCCTGCTGCCCTCCCCCCACCCCACCCCGCATTCCTGTTCCCCGATGAAGCTGGGATAACAAGCTAGCTCAGCCAGACGGGGGGCAGGCAGGTGGCAGGAGCCTGAGGCCCAGGGCAATGGTGTGACCTCCCTGCCCCTGGGCCCACTTCTGGCCTGAGGCCTAGAGGGATGCACCCCAGGTGGCACCACCATGAGGGGCTACGGGTCTCTGACCACACCCAGCAGAGGTCTGAGCCTAGTTCTGAGCAGCCACCAGAGCGGGCTTCCCATGGAGCCCAGACTGGCTTCTTATTTTGTGGTTCTGGGCAGGGCCCTTCCCTTTCTGGGTCTCAATCTCCTCGTCCAGAGAATGGGTGTTGAGTGGCTTAGAGGAGAGCTGGTGGTGCAAGGGCAGTGCTTGTCTGGCACATAGTAGGTGTACAACATGTGAGCCATTCCCCTGCCTTTCCCCTCCCCCCAGGCCCAAATTTGCTCCTCGCAGCTCTCCCAGGGACCCCCTCTTGGCTGCCCTGGCTATCAGGGCCGGACTGGACCTTCAAATGTCTGGGGCTCCCCTGCTTAAACCCATTACTGTGCTGCTCTGAGCTATGGGTTCAGAGGCTCACCCCACCTGCTGGGGGATGCAGGCCAACTATTCTAGGTGCCCTCCTTTGGGGACAGGTTTGTGTCTTCTGGGACTCAGTAGACCAGGAGCTGGCAGGGCCTTTGGGTCACCAGGGCACACTCCCCAACACATCCCCACACTTGCTATTGTCTGGAATTCTCCTGTTAGCCCTGGAAGCTGGGTATCATCGCCTCTGATGAAGGATCCAAGGCTGGAGAGGTGGAAGGAACAGAAACAGACTTGTCCCAACCCTCACGGACAGCAATGTCAGAGGCAGGATGTGGGCTAAGTTCATACCATGTCCAGCTTTCTGTCCATGATGCTGAGTGATGGATGGCCTGGGGGGACTTCTGTGGGGCCTCCCTGGGGACAATTCCTTAACCTGAGAGGAACCTGAGGGGAACAGGAGGGACTTTTGGACAACTATGTTGGCAGCTCTCTCTGTGCCCACCTGGCTGTACTTCAGGAAGGCTGGGGTGGGAGCTAGTGAGGGTCTGCAGGGGCATGTGCTGCCATGTGTGGGCTTCGTCCTCAGCTGTTGAGCAGGGTGGAGGCCCTAGGGGAGGCTGGGGGTGGAGCCGGGCCTTGGTTTCCTCATCTGAGCACAGGCACAGTGTCTCTGGGGGTGCGTTGGAAGTGCTTGCCCTGGGTGCCCCGGCCTCAGGTGCCAGCTGCATCCTCGAGGACCCACTCTTGGCCCCTTTGCCTGCTTCCCACCCCTAGAATATTCGCATGTGGGACATGCAGGACTACGAATGCCTCCAGTCCTTCTGTGGGAAGCTGTTCGCCCTGGGACACTGCCCCATCACCAGCGCCTACTTCCACAGGGATGACAACAGCCTCATCTGCAGCACCTACTCGGTGAGTGCTGGGCAGAGGGGTGGGGCACTGCGGCCGGGCCCGAAGCCCCATGAAACGCCGAGGGTTGGCCACATCCTGTCCCCCTGAGACTGCACTTTGTGCCATGAGGACAAAGCTGCTAGACTCTGTGTCCTGGTCCCTGAAGCTCCTGTCTTTTGGGATTTCCTGGAGGAACATTTCTAGGCCCCAGCAGTCACCCTCTACCCTGCTCTCTGTGCTCTTCTCCTGACCCGTGCGGCCTCCGGACGCTCCTCCTGGAAGCCCACCTTGACCCCCAGGCTGGGTTAGAAGCCCCCTGATCCAAGCTCCCATGCCTCCCCTCAGTCTTGGCCCTTGTTACTCTGCCCTGTCATGGTTACACGTCTGTCTTTCCTGCCGAATCATGAACCCCAGGAAGGCAGGGCTCACACCCCAGCAGCTCCTCTGAAAGAGAGAGCCTGGAGAGACCTGGTGTGAAGACTGTGAACCAAGACTTAGCTGGTGCCCATATGAGGTCTTTCCTGACCCCAGAGGACGGGACGGCTTGGGAGAGGCACAAGGGGTGGACTGTCCAGGGTGACAGTGGGGCCTGTGACAAGACGGGAGCTTAGGGAGCTGTAAGGACGATCAGCAGCCAGTGGATGGGCAGGCTTGTCTAGAAAGGGAGACCAGGGTGTTGCTTGTGGTTGAGAGGAAGTGGTGGCCCTACTGAGGCCTCCTACCCTCTGTTGGCCAGGCCATCCTGGCAGGGGACACATATTCTGGCCTTGTGCCCTTGGCTGGCTCTCCCAGACGGCAGGTTTGTTCAGATGGGAGTTGGTGGGTCCCTTTATCTCTGCTGAGTGCCAGACTGGCTGCCAGCATTTGTTGAATTAAACAGACTTTTGAAGTTCATTTCAGATCATCAAACATTGTCAACTCTCTGCTCTTTCTCAGGAGCAGAGAATATATTAGACACTGTCCCGTCCCTCGAGGAACCTATTGGATAGAAGAACAAATTTAGTAGAAACTGCTCTGTATTATGATGGAGATGTGTGCTGGGTGCTTCATGGACACAAGATTGAGGCCTCATGCTTTTCAGAAGTTATAAGAGGGACCTTGGACTTGGACTTTCAGGTTGTAGGAACACTGGGGCTTGGGAGCCCTGATCTCAGGAAGCGGGGGCCACAAAGTAGGGGCAAGAGGTATGAGCAGGCCTGTGTGCAGTGCAGTTGAGGATGTCTTGATGTCTTAGTTTACTGGAAGTTTCTTCCTGGGGTCAGTCACTGAGGGCAGGGCCCTTCTGACTGCCCGGCTGTCTGCCCCTCTCCTTACCTGCAGGTTGGCATCCTAAAAGGATACGTAGAGACCCAGGGGCCTGGGAGACCAGAGGAGAAGACCACGACGTACAGTGCACCCCTGTGCGCTGTCCTCTACAGCAAGGTTTTCAAGCAGGTGAGTGGGCTGCAGCTGTCTCGGGCCAGCAGAAGTGCCCCATGATGTGGGGCAGCGAGCACAGGGCCAGGGTGGCACAGAGTAGCGTGGAGGGAGGTGTGGGCGGCGGGAGGTGGACCAGCAGCAGCCCAGCAGAGGGCTTGACCCCAGGTGAGATGGGAGCTCCACCACGTGGTCAGCAGGTCATCAAACTCCTCTGAGCCTGCATGCACGGGACTGCTGCCTCGGGGCAGTTCTTTGCACAGTGTGGGATGGAACACAAGGCGTGGACTGCCCTGCGAGGTTTCTCGGGGTGGGTGCTGGAGTAGAGGTCTCTGTGTTGGGCAGGGAAACTGGGCACACGGTTTCTGGGTTTCTGAAGTGTGGGAACAGAAAGGGCTCTTGGGCCCTCTGACCACTCCCATGGGAACACCTTTTCTGGCCCAGGCTCTGGGCAGGACAGGCTGTGTCTGCTACAGCGGTGGCCTTGGGCTGCACGAGGCCAGAGCTCACCTCTCCAGCTTCCCTCTAATTTTGGCTCCTGGTGCCACAGGCCCTCATACCTTAGGGTTCTTCAATGCCTTCAAACAGTTTAAAAAAAATCCCCCTTCCTCAGCAGGAAGGTTGGTCTGAAACAGCCCCACCTGCAACTGTCGCATTGTAACAGTTGTAATGGCTGCAAAATGTTGCCTTTGGTGGAGTGACCTACCTTTCCTCTCAGCACTTCCCTACTTAAGGGGTAGTTAGTGTATCTCTTACTGGTTTTTCTCCCCCCCCATGATTCATGACTTTTCAGTAAGTCTTTTCTGAATTAGAGATTACTTTCTCTGGGTAGATTCTGATAAATTTTGTTTCTGAATTAAAGAGGATTTCACCAAACTGGTTCCTTCTAAAAGAACTATGCCAGTTTGCACTACCCTGTGCCCCAGAGCAGAGGAAGGCCTGTTTTTAAGAGTGGCTTATCCTGCTACCAGAGGACCCTGAACATCTCTCTCCTCAGTGCACGAAGCCGGGGCTGGGCTAGCCTCCATCACAGCAGGTGGAGGCTGCCCTTGGGAGAAGCCCCAGCTGTGTGTTCCCTCACAGGTGGTGAGCGGCTGCCTGAGCAGCGTGGTGAGTGTGTGGGAGGTCGTGACAGGCAGGAGGATGACGGAGTTCTCTGTGACTGATGACCAGCATGTGGAGCTGACTGCCATGTCCCTGGATGAGTCAGAGGGGTGCCTGCTCACGGGTCTGCGGGATGGCACCATTAAGATGTGGAACTACAGCGTTGGCGAATGCCTGTTGACCTTCCCCAACCCGGACCAGATGGAGGTCAGTCTGGTCCATCAGCTGGGGCCAGGGGTCCCTCACAGCTCCCAGAACCCTGGGGTGCACTATTTTTCATGCCTCCCCGAAAGTCTGTACATGTAGTCTGGCTGGCTTCATGCCTCCCTGAGCCTTTGTGTCCTCGTGCATAAGATGAAGATAGGTAACAGTGCCTGTTTGAGTCAGAGAGAAAGGATCAGAGACAGCTCAATGGCAGAGTCAGGTTTATTGCGAGAAACCTGCAGAGGGAGTCTCCAGTTAGACTGGAGCCTGCTTTCTGCATACAGGCTTGGTTATTTATGCCTGGGGGGAGGAGCTGATTGGTGGGTTCTTATGCAAATGAGGGATGCTGAAAGGAAGGGGGATGTGTCTGAAAGAGAGAGGGGCGTGTCAGATGAATGCTCCCGCCAGTAGTTCTCACTCAGGTCCAGGAAGGGTTTTACTGGCAGAAGGGGCTTTAACTAAAGGCAGAAGTTGTGGCTTGCGGTCAGCTCGGCTTGAGATGGCAGCCAGTCATCAACATGGAGTTGGTCTTGCCGATCAGTGCCTGTCCTTAGTAGGCATTTCACAGACGTTAGCTCCTCTTGCTCTTTTAGCATGCTCGCGCTTCTTACCTACACGTTAGAGCTTGGGATGGCATTTCTAGCAGTGGGGCAGGGGATTCAGAGCCCTTGTGCTCACCCCGTTTGAGAAATGCCTGACAGGCTTATAGGGACAGTCTGTGGGTGTGGCAAAGTCCAAAGCCAGCCAGCAGTCCCACTTTGGGACTTGAGCCCATTACTAACCCCTGTGGCACAGCCCTTTAGCCGACTCAGAAGGAGCACTTGGCCAAGAGGCCAGGGATTATAGGACTGGTCCAGATTCTGTCACTTAGTTATTTGACCTTAGCTAAGTCATTTGTCCATTTCCCTGCTCTCCCCCTGTAAGATGGACCTGGTTACCTACCCTGTCTGCCTCCTCCAAGTCCATCAAACAGACAATGCGATGTGAGGGCACTCTGGAAAATAGATGGCAGTACCACCTCTAGGGGAGCCTTGTCATCATGGAGAGTTTTGACTCCTTGCATGGTACGATTAGGAAGACATTTGGGGCCTGGAGCCACTTTCTCTGAGGTACCTTAGAGTTCTGTTTTCTTTCATCCTCAGCAGACCAGTGGGATTGTCCGTATGAACAAAGTGTTCTATGTGACCGGATGGAGTAAGAGAATCACTTATTTCATGTGAGTAGCCAGGGTGCACAGGGGGAGGTAGGGCAGCCGACTGTTCTCTCTTCACTTCAGGTGGGTTCCTCCAGTCCTAGCTTTGCTGCTGGTTAGAACACCAAGCAGGAAATTAGTGGTGGGTGATGTCCATTGCTTCATGCATTCATCTGCCCACCCATTCATCACTCCATGAGGCTGATAGGTTCTAGGGATCAGGTATAAACAAGAATGATGGAGTCGCCATCCTCCTGGAGCTCCTAGGGGAAGGCAGATACTAATCAAAGAAAATCATTTATAATAGTTTATAATGATAGTCTTTTGGGTGCCATGAAAATAAAACAGTACAGGTTTCTATGGTGAGGGGACAGAACTCTGATTGGGTCTCAGGGGCCATCAGGAAAGGCTCATCTGAGGAGGTCATGGGTGGAGTGGGATCTGAAGAGCGAGCAGGAGGGGTCTCAGTGAAGCAGTGAAGGGCTCTGGACAAGAGGGACCCTCTCCCTTCAAAGGGACTTTCTAGGGCCATCGTTTCCCCTTCTTTAAACCTGAATCCTTACTCAGGTGTCTGAATGGGGCAAATCTGTAAGAGTAGTGTATGTAAAGCCCCTAGGACAGAGCCTTTATAGTAGGCATGTAGTAGGTTCTTAGTAAATGAGGTCAGCAGGGCAGAGCGTCAGTCCTGCTCCAACACGTCCCCGGAGATGTCCTCTGAGTCAGTGCTCCGAGTCCTAGAGGTTGCTCTCCCAGGAGACCACTGAGGCTGAACACTCAGCCCTCCTGCCTCTGGGCCTGTGTGCAGGTTCCACAAGACCAAGCCGGTGCTCTTGTGCTACCACTGGCAGACCTTCCACACAGAGGATGTCCTGAGCATGGCCAAGTACCATAACCAGTTCCTCGGGACCTCCTCCTACAACGGCGATATCCTCTTCTGGAACGCCAGCATGTTCAAGCCCGTTCTCAATTTCAGTGCCTCTCGGAGCCCCTTGCCCTTGCTGCCCAAGAGGGTATGGTCAACAGGAACACGCTCCTCTCTTACTTCCCTATGAGCCGTGGGCCAGAATCACGGGGCTTGGGGAGTGGGGGAGGGTGTACCCCAGGAAGTAGAGGGGATGGTGGTGACTTGTTCTGGAGGAGGTTGGAAGCTAGGTAGGTGGGTGGTAGTTTTTATAATTATCCCCATTTGACAGATGAGGAAACTGAAGCACAGAGAGGTTAAGCAGCTTGCCCAAGGACCCGCAGCCAAGAAGTAATACATCCAAATCTGGGTAGTCTGCCTCCAGAGCCTGGTGGTGCTAGTCCTGTTCTCCCGTGAGACCACTCTCTCCTTGAAGGTGGCTCACATCTTACCCGCTGTGGCTACAGATTACCGCGCTGGGCTCCCTGGGATCACAGTAGGATTTAGAAAGCCCATATAGTCTCTGAATTACCGTATTTGGGTGGATTAGAGCTGGAAGGGGCTTCTGGGGCCACCCCGCCCAGGAGTTTCCCAGCATGTTGTGGAGAGATACTTGGAGGCTACTGCAGCAGCTTCACCCATAGCACCTCAGTTTTTTAAAAATCTATTTTACACTTTAGAGTTTCCCTTCAGGTTAAAAACAACCTCAAAAATACTTAGAAACACTATCCATTTTATAGATAGGGAGACTGGTCCCTCCTGGGAGCCATCTCCTGCCAGTGGGTACTTGGGGAGCTAGTGTTTGGCCCAGGCACAGGCTTTGAAGCTCTGGTTTGATGCCTTTAGGGGTACTCGGTTTCTGGGAAGCAAGCCCCAGGGAACCCAGAGGGCTGAGTGGTGTTGGCGTTGGCTGGGGGAGGCCCTCCCTTACCCTCTGGGACGCAGCAGCGCCTCAGGGGCGGCCCCTTCCCTGGCACAGGTGCAGGATGTGGATGACTGCTTGACTGAGAGCCACGGGGCCAGCAAGCCCTGTGTGGAGCAGAAGTGGGCGCACAAAACCCACACGGAGCCCCCGGGCCCCGGCTCCAGGTCCGCGCCAACACTCACCTGAGGCGGAACCTGATGTCGGCACCCCCGGTGGTGAGACACCAGAGGGACAAGGAACCAGCCCCCCCTGCACCCCTGTAGGTGGGTGCCCCACACTCCTGCCACCTGAGGAGGTGCTGTTCCAGGCCCAGGCAGGGTCCCTCCCTGATTAGCTGCATGGTGGCCTCAAGGCTGGGCCCGGCCCCTGCCCAGAGCATGGCCAGTACAGACCCCTGTGTCCACAGGCTCCCGGGCGGGACCTGGAGGGAGCACAACCCAGAGAGCTGACAGCTGAAAGCCTTTGTCAGTTCTCTAGCTCTTGTCGCCCTGGCAGAGAGGAGCCACCAGGGGCCTCCCTCCTCCAACAAGCCTCGTTCCACAGAGAACAGGCTCCAGTGGTCTGAGGCCCAGATGCAGCAACCACTTCCCTCCTCCCCCAAGCCCTGGCCTCTGCCCCAGGGTCAACCCTCCCAGGCTTGACTGACGATCCGATTTTGGAGGGAGTAGCGAGGAAGAGTAGGGGAGCTGCTCTCCTTACTCCCAGAGGGGGCTTTGGCCTCAGACCCTCAGCTGTGACAACAGTGCTCTCTTGTGTGGGGCTTGAGGGGCCCATCAGGTGGTCTGAGCAACTGAAGCCTGATTCCGTTCCTGGGAGCTGGGGCTTGAGTGAGAAACCTCACCTTCCCCAAATACCCAGTGCTTGGGAGGTGTAGGGCTCATCCGGCCCCACGTGACCGGCCAGGACACAGTTCTGTGAGATGCCCGCACTGTACGTCACTGTGAGGCTCTCGTACCATCTTCAAAGTGTCAGGGTTGCACCATCACATTCAAATCTTCTAGAGCAAGGGGTGCACACACCCCTGTATCCTCACCTCTAGTCAGAATGCCTCTTCCAGGACCAAGAAGAGTACTTCCCAGAAGGTCAACTCAAGTCTCTGCCCTAAGAGCAGAAGCTGTTTATAATTTAAAACAGGGACTCCCCAGCATCAGAGTGTCTTTACAGCCAGGATCCTTTAGACACCCTGCTGTACCATTTGCACAAGGGTGTATCTACTGTGTGGGGCTGCTCTTTCAGCATCCGCCTCTGTCTCTGTTCCCTGGAGTCCCTTTCATGATGACCTGGGAGGTCCATTTTACTTTCCAGAAGCCTCTCAGCGCCTACAGCCTCAAACAGTCAAGAACACCCCATGACAGACTGTCACTTGTCAGAGAGGATGAAAAGAGAAAAGCAGACTTCCAGAGGAAGATGTTGCTGCAGTCCAGCGCATCAGTAGAGAAGGTCGGCCACGAGCAGGCAGGCTCTAGTTGTGAGGCGGCATGGGGACCAGTTGGGGTGGGCTGGGAAATGCAGTGCTTCTGAGCCTGGGGGCCTGCAAGCTGGTTCTCCCCAGAGAAGGGCCAGGAGAGGCAGCTTGGAGTTGAAGGTACCACTCAGGATCTTGGCTGCCAGGCCGCTGTGTCTGAGGGGAGCTCCTGACTCTGACGACGCAGCCCTGCCTGTGTGCTCCCAGCCAGTCCTTGCCACTCACTTGCCTCCATCCTGCCTGCTCAGCTGTCCCAGCGCTGGTGGAGAAAGTGTTGGGAAGGAAGACTCAGCTTTCCCCCAGTTCAGAAAAGGATCTTCATGGCGTATCTTTTTGGTGAATCCTGCAATCATGTTTTAGGAGAATACTTAATGATCTGATTCTTACGACAAGATTTTAAAATTTTCCTTAAAAATGATAAATAACGACTACTATAAAAATTGTGTGCATCTTTTAGATGTGTTTTTGCCTATATGCTATATGTACACACAGGTATGATTTTGGTTTTCAAATAAAGCTGGGAATGTTTGAGACCGTAGTTGAACTGTTTGCCTCTTTTGCAATGCACAGTGGACAACTTTTCCTCTCAGTACATATACATCTATCTGCTTCATTCTTTTTAATAGTTTCATACAGGGGGCTGATGTAGGTTTTTTTGGAGCCTGAAACTTACACAGTTTAGGAGGCACCCTTTAAGAAAAATAACACATATTTATAAATACAAAATTAGAAAGGTAAAAATTTCTTCAGAATGAGAAAAGAAATGACAGCATATTTCAAAACGTACAAAGCTGACAAAGTTACAACTAGCATGTTGGTAGTTCCTCTCATGACCTTGGAAGGGCCTTGAACTCAACCTTGATCTTAACTTGGCCTAGAACTTCATGAACTTCAATGATAATTCTGACCCGGCTGCAGTGTATTTCCTTGGATTTGCCGTAATTTATTTAATGAAGGCCCAACTGGTACACACTGAAGTTGTTCTTAGTATTTCACTATTATAAACTGTGGTGCAGTTGAGACCCTTCTAGGTTTATCTGTGCAGGTTATGCTGGATGTCGCAGAAGTAGGTCTGAGGGATCCAGTTGTGCACAGTTTACATTATGATCTGGTCTCCAGGAAGACTGATGCTCTCCATCCCCCTCACCAGTGTGAGAGTCTGCTTGTCCTCACACCAAGCCAGTTCCAGACATCAGCCTTTTCTTCATTTCTGCCAGTTAGACAGCTGGAAAACAGCATTGCCTTTTGACTTTTCTTTTGATTATTTGTGAGTTTGAGCTTTTTGTATATTTGTTAGATATTTGTATTTCTTCAATGGAATAAATATCTATTCACATCCTTTTCCATTCTTTTTTATATTAATTCCTTGGAGCTCTCTGTACTCTCTGGAAGTGAATCCTTTGCCTGTTGTGTCTTACAGCTATTTTCACCTTACCTGCCTTCATGGTATCACACTGAGGTTTTTTTTTTTTTTTAACATTTTTTATTGA